TTCACCGTTGTCACTGGTGTCACCATTATCACGGTTGTCACCGTTGTCACTGTTGTCACTATTGTCACTGTTGTCACCGTTTTCACCGTGTCACAGTTATCACTGTTTTTACCGGTGTCACTGTTCTCACTCTTGTCACCCTTTTTTACAGTTGTCACTGTTGTCACCATTCTGAGTGTTGTCACCATTGTCACTGTTGTCACAATTGTTATCGTTGCCACTGTTGTCACTGTTGTGACTGTTGTCACCTTTGTCACTGCTGTCACTGTTGTCACTGTTGTCACTGTTGTCACCCTTGTCAGTGTTGTCACTTTTGTCACGGTCCTCACTGTTGTTACCATTTTCACCGTTGTCACTGTTGTCACCATTGTCACCGTTGTCACCGTTCTCACCGTTGTTACTGCTGTCACTGTTGTCACTGTTGTCACTGTTGTCTCAGTTGTCACTGTTGTCATTGTTCTCACCGTTGTCAATGTTTTCACCGTTTTCACCGTTGTCACTGTTATCACTGTTGTCACTGTGTTCACTGTTGTCACTGTTGTCTCTATTGTCGTTATTATCACCATTGTCACCGTTGTTCCTGTTGTTACCGTCGTCACCCTTTTTCACTATTATCACTGTTGTCACCATTTTCTCTGTGTCACCGTTGTCACTATTGTCACTTTTGTCACTCTTTTGCTGTGGCTATTGTCACTGTTGTCAGTGTTGTCACTATTGACACCGTTGTTACCGTTGTCACCGTTGTCAATGTTGTCACTGCTGTCACTGTTGTAGCAGTTGTCACTGCCGTCACTTTTTCACTTTTATAACTCTTGTCACTGTTGTTACCATTTTTACCGTTGTCACTGTTGTCACCATTATCACCGTTGTCACCGTTGACACCGTTATCACTGTTGTCACTATTGTCACTGTTGTCACCGTTTACCGTGTCACAGTTATCACTGTTGTCACCATTGTCACCATTGTCACTTTTGTCACTGTTGTTATCGTTGCCACTGTTGTCACTGTTGTCACCGTTGTCACAGTTGTCACTGTTGTCAACGTTGTCACTTTTGTTAAGGTTGTCACTGTTGTCGCTGTTGTCACCTTTGTCACTGTTGTTATTGTTGTCACCGTTGTCAATGTTGTCACCGTTTTCACTGTTGTCACTATTTTCAGTCTTGTCACTGTTTTCACCGTTGGCACAATTGTCACTCTTGTCACCGATGTCACTTTCGCACTGTTGTCACTGTTGTCACTGTTGTCATCTTTGTGACCGTTGTCACTGTTGTCACCATTGTCACTGTTTTCACCGTTTTCACAGTCACAATTGTCGCTGTTGTCCCTTTTGTCACTTTTTTCGCACTTTTACTGTCACTGTTGTGATCGTTGTCAGCGTTGTCACTGTTGTCACTGTTGTCACCGTTGTCACTGTTGTCACTTTTGTCACAGTAGTTACTGTTGTCACTGTTGTTAGCATTTTCGCCGTTGTTACCATTGTCACCATTGTCATATTTGGCACTTTTTTCACTGTTGTCACCGTTGTCACTTTCGTCACCGTTGTCACTGTTATCACCATTGTCACCGTTGTCACTCTTGTCACTGTTTTTACTAGTGTCACTGTTGTTACCATTTTCACCGTTGTCACTGTTGTCGCCGTTTCCACAGTTGTCACCGTTGTCACTGTTGTTACCGTTTTCACTATTGTCACTGTTGTCACTGTTGTCATCGTTGTCACTGTTGTCACTGTTATCACTGTTGTCATCATTGTCACTGTTGTCACTGTTGTCACCGTTTTCACTGTTGTCACTGTTGTCACTGTGTCACCGGTGTAACTATTGTCACTTTTCTCACCGTTGTCACTGTTGTTACAGTTCTCACCGTTGTCACTGTTGTCACCGTTGTCACTGTTGTCACTGTTGTCATCGTTGTAACAGTTGTCCCTGTTGTCACCGTTGTCACTGTTGTCACTGTTGTCACTGTTGTTACCATTTTCACCGTTGTCACAGTTGTCACCATTATCACTGTTGTCACCGTTGTCACCGTTGTCACTGTTGTCATTATTGTCACTGGTTTCACCGTTTTCACCGTGTAACAGTTATCACTGTTTTCACCGTTGTCACTGTTGTCACTTTTGTCACCCTTTTTTACAGTTGTCACTGTTGTCACCATTGTTAGTGTTGTTACCATTGTCAGTGTTGTCGCCATTGTCACTGTTGTCACTGTTGTGATCGTTGCCACTGTTCTTAGTATTCTCACCGTTGTCACTGTTGTCGGTGTTGTCACTGAGGTCACCATTGTCACTCTTGTCATTGTTGTCACCGTTGTCACTGATGTCACTTTTGTCACTGTTGTCATCGTTGTCACTGTTGTCGCTGTTGTCACCGTTGTCACCGTTGTCACAGTTGTCACTGTTGTCGCTGATGTCACTTTGGCACAGTTGTCACTGTTGTCGCTGATGTCACTTTGGCACAGTTTTCACTGTTGTCACTGTTGTCATTGTTGTCACTGTTGTCACTGTTATCACTGTTGTCATCGTTGTCACTGTTGTCACTGTTGTCACTGTTGTCATCGTTGACACAGTTGTCCCTGTTGTCACCGTTGTCACTGTTGTCACTGTTGTCACTGTTGTCACTGTTGTTACCATTTTCACCGTTGTCACAGTTGTCACCATTATCACTGTTGTCACCGTTGTGACCGTTGTCACTATTGTCATTATTGTCACTGGTTGCACCGTTTTCACCGTGTAACAGTTATCACTGTTTTCACCGTTGTCACTGTTGTCACTTTTGTCACCCTTTTTTACAGTTGTCACTGTTGTCACCATTGTTAGTGTTGTTACCATTGTCAGTGTTGTCGCCATTGTCACTGTTGTCACTGTTGTGATCGTTGCCACTGTTCTTAGTATTCTCACCGTTGTCACTGTTGTCGGTGTTGTCACTGAGGTCACCATTGTCACTCTTGTCATTGTTGTCACCGTTGTCACTGATGTCACTTTTGTCACTGTTGTCATCGTTGTCACTGTTGTCGCTGTTGTCACCGTTGTCACCGTTGTCACAGTTGTCACTGTTGTCGCTGATGTCACTTTGGCACAGTTGTCACTGTTGTCGCTGATGTCACTTTGGCACAGTTTTCACTGTTGTCACTGTTGTCATTGTTGTCACTGTTGTCACTGTTATCACTGTTGTCATCGTTGTCACTGTTGTCACTGTTGTCACTGTTGTCACCGTTTTCACTGTTGTCACTGTTGTCACTGTGTCACCTGTGTAACTATTGTCACTTATCTCACCATTGTCACTGTTGTCACTGTTGTTACAGTTCTCACCGTTGTCACTGTTGTCACCGTTGTCACTGTTGTCATCGTTGTCACTGTCGTCACTGTTGTCATCGTTGTCACTGTTGTCACTGTTGTCATCGTTGTCACTGTTGTCACCGTTTTCACTGTTGTCGCTGGTGTCACCGTTGTCACCGTTGTCACAGTTGTCACTGTTGTCGCTGATGTTACTTTGGCACAGTTTTCACTGTTGTCACTGTTGTCATTGTTGTCACTGTGTTCACTGTTTTCACTGTGGTCTCTATTGTCGTCATTGTCATGTTTTTCACCGTTGGCACTGTTGTCACCGTAGTCACTGTTGTCACTATTGTCACTGTTGTCACCGTTTTCACTGTCACAGTTGTCACTTTTGTCACCGTTTTCATTTTTTTCACATTTTTGCTGTCAATGTTGTGATCTTTGTGATCGTTGTCACTGTTGTCACTGTTGTCACTTTTGTCACCGTTGTCACTGTTTTAACCGTTGTCACTGTTGTCACTGTTGTCATCGTTGTCATTGTTGTCACTTTTGTCACAGTAGTTACTGTTTTCACTGTTTTCAGCATTTTCACCGTTGTCACTGTTTTCACCATTATCACCGTTGTTACCGTTCTCACCGTTGTCATATTTGGCACTGTTTTCACTGTTGTCACCATTGTCACTGTCGTCACTGTTGTCACTGTTATCACTATTGTCACTGTTGTCACTGTTGTCAACGTTGTCACTTTTGTTACTGTTGTCACTGTTGTCACTGTTGTCACCTTTGTCACTGTTGTCATTGTTGTCACCGTTGTCAATGTTGTCACTGTTTTCACTGTTGTCACTATTTTCACTCTTGTCACTGTTGTCACCGTTGTCACAGTTGTCACTGTTGTCACTGATGTCACTTTAGCACTGTTGTCACTGTTGTCACTTTTGTCACTGTTTTTACTGTTGTCTCTATTGTCGTAGTTCTCATGTTTTTCACCGTTGGCACTGTTGTCACGGTTGTCACTGTTGTCACTATTGTCCCTGTTGTCACCGTTTTCACTGTCACAGTTGTCACTGTTGTCACTTTTTTCACACTTTTACTGTCACTGTTGTGATCGTTGTCATCGTTGTCACTTTTGTCACTGTTGTCACTGTTGTCACTGTTTTTACTGTTGTGACTGTTGTCACTGTTTTAACTGTTGTCACTGTTGTCACTTTTGTCACAGAAGTTACTGTTGTCACTGTTGTCACTTTTGTCACAGTAGTTACTGTTGTCACTGTTGTCAATGTTGTCACTTTTTTCACACTTTTACTGTCGCTGTTGTGATCGTTGTCGTCGTTGTCACTGTTGTCACTGTTGTCACTGTTGTCACCGTTGTCACTGTTGTCACTGTTGTGAATGTTGTCACCGTAGTCACTGTTTTCACCGTTTTCACCGTTGTTACCGTTGTCACCGTTGTCGTATTTGGCAATGTTTTCACTGTTGTCACCAATGTCACTGTCCTCACCATTGTCACTGTTATCACCATTGTCACTGTTGTCACTGTTGTCACTGTTGTTACTGTTGTCACTGTTGTTACTGTTGTCACTGTTGTTACCATATTCACCGTTGTGAATTTTGTCACCGTTTCCACGTTGTCACCGTTTTCACCATTGTCACAGTTTTTACTGGTGTCACCGTTCTCACTGTTGTCACTGTTGTTACCGTTTTGACCATTGTCACTGTTGTCACCGTTGTCACCGCTGTCACTGTTGTCATTGTGTTTACCGTTGTCACTTTTGTCACTGTTGTCACTGTTGTTACAACTTACACTGTTTTCTCTATTCTCACCGCTGTCACCGTTGTTACCATTGTCACCGTTGTCACTGTTGTCACTGTTCTCTCCATTGTCACCGTTGTCACTGTTGCAACTGTTGTCACTGTTTTGACCGTTGTCACTGTTGTCACTGTTGTCACCGTTGTCACCGTTTTCACTGTTTTCACCGTTGTCTCTGTTGTCACTGTTGTCATTGTTGTCACTGTTGTCCCTGTTGTCACCGTTGTCACTGTTGTTACCATTTGGACCGTTGTCACAGTTGTCACCATTATCACCGTTGTCACCGTTGTTACCGTTGTCACTGTTGTCATTATTGTCACTGTTGTCACCGTGTTCACCGTGTCACAGTTATCACTGTTGTCACCGTTGTCACTGTTGTCACTTTTGTCACCCTCTTTTACAGTTGTTACTGTTGTCACCCTTGTCAGTGTTGTCACCATTGTCACTGTTGTCACTGTTGTCATCGTTGCCACTGTTGTCACTGTTGTCACATTTGTCACCGTTGTCACTGCTGTCAATGTTGTCACTGTTGTCACTGTAAGTTGTTACCATTTTCACCGTTGTCACTGTTTTCACCATTGTGACCGTTGTCATTGTTGTCACAGTTGTTACTCTAGTCACTGTTGTTACCAATTTCACCGTTGTCACTGGTGTCACCATTATCACGGTTGTCACCGTTGTCACTGTTGTCACTATTGTCACTGTTGTCACCGTTTTCACCGTGTCACAGTTATCACTGTTTTTACCGGTGTCACTGTTGTCACTCTTGTCACCCTTTTTTACAGTTGTCACTGTTGTCACCATTCTCAGTGTTGTCACCATTGTCACTGTTGTCGCTGTTGTTATCGTTGCCACTGTTGTCACTGTTGTCACTGTTTTCACCGTTGTCACTGCTGTCACTGTTGTTACTGTTGTCACTGTTGTCACCCTTGTCAGTGTTGTCACTGTTGTCACTGTTATCACTGTGTTCACTGTTGTCACTGTGTTCACTGTTGTCACTGTTGTCTCTATTGTCGTTATTATCACCATTGTCACCGTTGTCGCTGTTGTCACCGTCGTCACCCTTTTTCACTATTATCACTGTTGTCACCATTTTCTCTGTGTCACCGTTGTCACTGTTGTCACTTTTGTCACTCTTTTGCTGTCGCTATGGTCACTGTTGTCAGTGTTGTCAGTGTTGACACTGTTGTTATCGTTGTCACCGTTGTCAATGTTGTCACTGCTGTCACTGTTGTAGCAGTTGTCAGTGCCGTCACTTTTTCACTTTTATAACCGTTGTCACTATTGTCATCATTGTCACTGTTGTTACTGTTGTCACTGTTGTCACTGTTTTTACCATTTTAACCTTTGTCACTGTTGTCATCGTTGTCACTGTTGTCACCGTAGTCACTGTTGTCACCGTTGTCACCATTGTCACTGATGTCACCGTTGTCACTGTTTTCACTGTTGTCATTGTTGTTACTGTTGTCACTGTTGTTACCATTTTCCCCGTTTTCACTGTTTTCACCGTTGTCACCGTTGTTACTGTTGTCACTGTTGTCACTGTTATCACCGTTGTCACTGTTGTCATTGTTGTCACCGCTGTCACTATTGTCATTGTTGTCACAGTTCTCACTTTTGTCACTGATGTTACCATTTACACCGTTGTCACTGTTCTCACCGTTCTCACTGTTGTCACTGTTGTCACTGTTCTCTCCATTGTCACCGTTGTCACTGTTCTCACTGTTGTCACTGTTCTCACCGTTGTCACTGCTGTCACTGTTCTCACCGTTTTCACCGTTGTCGCTGTTGTCACCGCTGTCACTGTTGTCATCGTTGTCACTGTTGTAACTGTTGTCACCGTTGTCACTGTTGTCACTGTTGTCACCATTGTCAGTGTTGTCACCATTGTCACTGTTGTCACTGTTGTCATCGTTGCCACTGTTGTCAGTGTTGTTACCATTTTCACCGTTGTCACAGTTGTCACCATTATCACCGTTGTCACCGTTGTCACCTTTGCCACTGTTGTCACTATTGTTACTGTTGTCACCGTTTTCACCGTTGTCACCGTTGTCACTGTTGTCACTGTTGTCACCGATATCACTGTTGTCATTGTTGTCACCATTGTCACTGTTGTCACTGTTGTTACTGTTGTGACTGTTGTTACTGTTTTTACCATTTTCACCATTGTCACTGTTGTCATCGTTGTCACTGTTGTCACCGTTGTCACTGTTGTCACCGTTGTCACCGTTGTCACCGTTTTCACTGTTGTCGCCGTTGTCACTGTTGTCAC